ACTCACTCTGTAGACCAGGCTGGCGTCAAACTCAGACATCCACCTGTCTCTGGCTCCTGGAATTAAAGGTATGTGCCACCACTGCCTAACAAGATTTCTTAAAGGTATTTCTTAATGGACTAAACACTGAAGCCAGGCGGATCTCTGTGAGTTCCAGGCCAGCCTGGTCTACAGAGAGAGATCCAGGACAGGCACCAAAAACTACACAGAGAAAACCTGTCTCAGAAAAACCAAAATTAAATAAATAAAAAATAAAAAAGAATGTGATACACATATATGAAAAAAATATATTTCTTATTTGACATGTTGACTTTGAGATGTCTATTAAGTGAAGATGTTCAGTAGGCAGGAGATGCAGCCCCTTACTGGTGTGAGCCCTGGGATCCTACAGCTGAAGGGACATTGTTTAGAGCCACGGGCTTAATGACATCTTTAAGGGGCGGCTGAGTCTAGACACGGTCTGCAAAGTACTTATAATCTGCTCAGTGTTAATACTGCTGCTTTGCATTTCACAATGGATTCTTCTCTGTGAACCAATTTTACCTTCTAGCTCAGCTCTGGAAACCTGGTAAAGGTGGGATGTCAGCTGTGATACAAAGGATTGTGGTTTGTGATGAAAGTGACTGTACTGGCTAGTTTTGTCAACTTGACACCTGCTACCTCATCTTTGGGGGGGGCGCTCAGTTGAGAAAATGCCCCCATTAGATCAGGCTACAAGCAAGCCTGTAGGGTATTTTCTTAAGTAGTGATGGATGGGGGAGGGCCCAGCCCATTGTGGGTGGGGCACCCCTGGGCTGGTGGTCCTGGGTTCTATAAGAAAGCAGGCTGAGCAAACCATGGAGAGCAAGCCAGTAAGCAGGCCCCTCCATGACCTCTGCATCTGCTCCTGCCTCCAGATTCCTGCCCTGTCTGAGTTCCTGTCCTGACTTCTTTTAATGATGAACAAAGCTATGGTTACACAGGCCAAATAAACCCTAGTGAATTCTCCATTAGTCTAGAACACACGAGATCCTGTCGACAATCAAAACAAACCTTCTTCTATTTATGGCAGCATAACTGCTATAAGAATTCCTTGTTGTGTGATATTTTGAATGTGTTCTGACAAATAAAGATTGCTTGGAGTCAGAGGGCGGAGTTAGCCACTAGCCAACCAAAATTAACCACAGAGGTTTTGGAAGACTGAGGACTGATAGGAGAGGAAGCAGTAAGGCGGGGTGGAAAGGGATCAGGAGAGGAAGTAGTAAGGTGGGACTGAAAGGGATCTGGCTCTGTTTTGGAGGAAGGAACAGAGCAGGTAGGAAGGACTGGTGACTTCTCTGTTTCTCTGATCCCAATATCTGACTCCTACACTTTTATTGACAAAGAATAATTAGAGTAACATTTCAGTTCTTTCTGTATTAAGCAACCAGGCTAGCACGGGGACCAACTGGTTGGTGGCACTACATATTGAGGTAATGCAGAGGACAGTAAGCCTTAAGAGAAAACAAATTAATAACATGCACCCCCAGATTTCTGCTCTGCAAAACCTTTCCAAACATGGCATTGGGAAGTGAGGCCATGAACCATCTGAATGCTTGGCTAAGTCAGAGAATAAAGGTTTTGATTCAAATGCAGCAGGAAAAGAGGCATGCCACTCCACAAGGTCATCAAGACTAAGCTGCTGCTGACTGAGAGCGGAACCAATTCCAGAGTTCGCAATGTTGGTAGAAGTAGAAACCGCAGTTTAAGTCCAGAGCCAACATACTTCCCTGAGCAAACCTCACAAAGCCTCCTGAACCCCAACAGCATTCAACTGAGACCCTAGAAAGTCTATGACTTAGGAGCTAAGAATCACCTGTTAACAGGGTAAAAGTGGATAAATTCCATCTAGCTGGCTGCTTGTCTTTATAAATAAAGTTTTATTGGAACGTAGCTGTGCTCACTTGCACCTGGTAGCATTGAGAAATTGCAACAGATAGTATTGCCACAAAAGCCTAAGATACTATCTGGCCTTTACTGAATTCTACTCTGGAGTAAGACTCCTTGTATTTCCCCCTCGAATAAGGGCAACCCCCGAAAAAAATCTGTTCTAACAAAGAATAACATCAAGCCTGGCAGAACAAACTGCTGCCTAACACTCAACATAGCATAAAGAAAATCAATATAATCTCTAAAAGATATCCATTGTGGCCAGGCGTGGTATAGCACACCTTTAATCCCAGCACTCGGGAGGTGGAGGCAGAGGCAGTTGGATCTCTGAGTTCGAGGCCAGTCTATCTACATAGTGAATTCCAGGATAGTTAGAGCTGTTATAGAGAGAAACTCTGTCTCAAAAAACCAAGAAGAAGAAAAAAAAAAGATATCCATTGTGTGACATATACAATTAAATATTACATGAGATGGCTCAGTAGTTAAGAGCACTGACTGCTCTTCCAGAAGACCCAGGTTCAATTCTCAGCACCCACATGGCAGCTCACAATTGTCTGTAACTCCAGTTCCAGGGGATCTGATACTCATGGCAAAACACCAATGCATATAAAATAAAAATAAATAAATTAAAAAATAAATACTACATGAGATATGAAGCAGGGAAATGTGAAGAAGGAGGAGGAGGAGGAGGAGGAGGAGAAGGAGAAGAAGCAGCAGCAGCTAATAAAACAGACTGTGAGGTAGCCCAGATTTCAAGTGTTTAAAATAGCTGTTATGGGCTGGAGAGATGACTCAGTAGTTAAGAGCAGTACTGCTCTTGCAGAGGATCTTGCCAGGTGGGTTCCCATAATCCATATCTTGGGCTCACAACTGCCTATAACTCCAGTTCCAAGGGATCTGACTCCTCTGGCCTCCTTGGGTACCTGCACTTATGTGGTACACATAAATTCATGCAGAACACACACATGCACATAAATAATAAATAAAAACTAAATCTTTTTTTTTTAAGTTGTTATGTTTACTGGGTGTGGTGGCACATGCTTGTAATCTCAACTCTTTGGAGAGGACAGGAGGACCAGAAATTCAAGGCCATCCCACATAAGACACTTGTTAGGACAGTTGTTATAAATGTATGTTCAAGTCCTTAAAGGATGGAGTTAATGAGTGAATGGCTGGGAAATCTGAACAGAGAAACGGGGGGAAATGCCCAGGACTGAGGTTCACACCTCTAATCTCAGCACACAGGAGGTAGAGGCAGGAGGATCAGGAGTTCAAGGACACTTTGGACTACAAGAGACTCTGTCTTAAAACAAATAGCTAAATGGCAATTCTAGAAATAAATACAATATATATGAGGGTAAGTGGGATTCTCAGTCTTTTTTGTCTTTTTTCCCCCTTTTGTGGTACTGGGGATGGAACCCCAAACCAGGGCCTCATGGGTGTTAACCAGAGTTTGACCACTGAGCTACATTCCCAGCCCCTAGGCTCATTTTTTAGAGATACACAGTGAAAAGGATCTACAAATGAAGTGATATATACCTAGGGCATACCTTAAAATAATACAGTTTGGGGAAGGCAATGTGGCTGGGGGAAGAGGAGGAACGGGTCTCTAGGCGCACGGTATGTGTTTGAAATTTCTCATATTAAGAACATTCAAAGGCTAAAAAAGTATAATCTATTCTTCAAAGGACAAAGTTGTTGGGTTCTGTTTTGTTTTTGTTTTTTTCTTTCTCTGTGTAGCTTTGGAGCCTGTCCTGGAACTCACTCTGGAGACCAGGCTGGCCTTGAACTTATAGAGATCCACCTGCCTCTGCCTCCCAAGTGCTGGAATTAGAGGCATTCGCCACCACCGCCAGGCTAAGAATAAGTTGTTTTAAATGTAAAAGATCATTCAAGTGATGCTCTGTGTACACATAATGATTGGCTCATCTTTGCCAAAGTCTCTAAGATATGTTAGATACTACATCTTCACAAATTTTGAATGCTTTGGTGAATAAAGGCATTTCATAAAAACTGAGTATTTTATTTCACAAAACTGTGAATGTGTGTCATTCTCTGTATGTATTACAAACTTAGATACACACATCCACACCAATATCTGGGTATCTGACTTCACAAACAGGGGTTGCTTTAAGCTAAACTGGACCGGTGAGACTGTTCAATGGGCAAAAGTGTTACTACCAGGCCGGATGACCTAAGTTCAATCTCTGGGACCCAGGTGATGGAAAGAGAAGTCCCCAAAGTTCTCCAAAGGCCTTTATTGCACACCTTGGCACCTGCTTGAGCACACACTTACACAATAAATAGACAAACAAATACATGTAATTTTAAGAGCAAGGAAATTTTCCTACAACTTGCTTTTTCCCAACAATATGTTTTGAGGATACCATTCCATGTTAACTCAACCCTTTTTACATATCCTAAGATACGCATACACACACACAAAGATGTAGGTACCTGCTTTCACACAAGGTGACTGTGTTAAATTAATCTGAGTTGGCATACAATAAGTGCTGAGTATTACTATGAAAATATTACCTCCTAAAACTGTTCCTATGTGCCTGGCATTTAAGTAGCCCCTCAAGTTGTTGGTGCTCCTTTTTCCTCGTCCTTGAACCAATTTCTGCGTTCTTTCCAGAAAAGAGTCAAAACCTATACTAATTCAACAATGATTCATTCACGCGAACGCACCTGTATGGAATGACTTGGGCATCACTAGTTCTCTTGAGTTATCATGACAGTAATCACATTTTACAAGTTTCTCAAAAAGACATGCCAATACAATAGCTCTAAACCGAGTGTCCAGGCGCATTTCACAGTCGTCGTCGGTATATATGTCTGGAACACTAACCACACAAGTAAAATGGGGTGAGAAAACTTTAGGCAATGACCCGCAAATCTCAAGGACTAACCAACCACTCAGGGACATGGTCCAGGAAAGGAGTGGACAAACGTGTGTCTGTGTTTCTGCAGCGTGCCAGTGTGTATCGCGTGCGTGGGTAGGACTGAAAGTACGCACGTGCGTACCAAGTCCACGCGCGGACGCATCTCTAGGCGCGCAGCCCTGGAGCGGTCGTGTTCCGATCGCTTACCTCCACGGACGCGCAGGTGGACGCCGATGGGCGCCGCCATGTTGGCTCCGGTCACGTGGCCAGGAGAGGGCCCCGCAGCTCCGCCCACTGGAGTAGCCGCGCTACCCAAGCCCAGAGGCGCTGATGCAGCCGGACCGGAGTGCGCGTGCGCGTGAGACTGGCTGCGGGAACCCGGGTTAACTAGTGAGTGGCTCTGGTGCCTCGACCAGCATCTCCATCCGCGGCCAGCTCGCTCTCGCCACGAGAGGCTGGCACCCGCCGCAGCTCGTGCTCTGCGCCCTGGCACCCATCTAGGATGGAAGAAAACTGTCAGGTAAGTGTGGCCTCCAGTGTTTATAGCATCAACATTTTGGTGCATGGAAACATGAAGTTGGGCTGGAAAAAAGAACACAATTCAGTGTGCAACATAGCACTTTGCATCGTCTTCCACTCTCTCACAAATTATTTCACGGCAATTAGTTGAAAGGTAGAATTTGGCTCAAACTGATCAGCTGCCTCTTGCTATGTTTGAACCTAAATTACTCAGCAGAGACTCCAGAATAGAATAGCTCAGACACCTATGTGCTCCAGTGGGTATCCTCAGGGGATTTCTCTTTCCCCGATTACACTTCCTGCTTGGCAGTATTAACTGGTGTTGTTCCTTTAGACATTTAAAGGATGACCCTGTCAACATGCATAGCCCACAGCTGAACCCCGTTGAAAGTCAAGTACGAGTTAAGCGAGGCAGCCGGTGTATCTTCGATGATACTGTTGCCCATTTTTATCACCTTCTGCCCTTGTTCTGATGTGGATTCCAGCCAGTCATGGACCATGTGTTACCCATCTTGGTAGCCTCCAGTGCTCAGCACAGAACATGACACCTCGAGATGTGTGTGGTGAAGGAGCCCAGACTGTGGGTGTAGCAGTTTCTGGACTTTGAATGCCGTCAAGATCAATAAGATTCTTTGTGAATGTGCTGATGTCTTCTAATTGATTTTTAAGACTCCATATGCTGAACCGGCATGGTGGTGCACACCTTTAATCCCAGCACTCAGGAGGCAGAGTCCAGAGGATCTCTGTGAGTTCAGGGGCAGCCTGGTCTACATAGTAAGTTCCAGGACATCCAGAGCTATATAATAGAGAAACCCTGAGTCAAGACAAAACAAAACTACAAACAAACAAAAACAAAAAGCCAGAAAAGAACTCACAGCCTCAATGAAAAGTTACACAGTTCAGAAATGAGTAAAGGGGAAGCACAAGCCCTTCCTCGCCTCAGCACACGACAGTCCTCATTCCAGAACTCTGCCTTGGCTTTAAATGAAGTCACAGGCTCTAAAGCTTTACCCTTTCTACTCATCATAAACCTCAAGTCTGAGAACACTTGATCCAAGCTCCTTCTTTTTGTTTGAGAATGCACATAATATGATTTGATCAAATCACCTCCCACGAGCCCCCACCCTCCTCTTATTCCGTCCTCGTCTCTCCCACCACTTTCCCTCCCAACTTCATGGGGGTTTTTTCATTTTTGTTTTTGTTTTTTAACCCACTGAGTCCACTTAATCCTGCCAGCATGCACATTAATGTAAGGCCGTCTGCTGGAGCACAGGTATCCTATCAGGGCCAGAAACCCTGAGGAAAACTGTCCTCCCTCCCCCAGGAGCCATCCATTGCCAACCCTCAGCTGGGGGTGGGACTCTGTGACCTCCTCCTGATCCCTATTGAGATCTTGGCTAGCTAGGCCTTGTGCACATGGTCATAGCCACTGTGAATTCTTGTGTGCGTTGTGCCTGTTGGGTCAAGAAAACACGGTTTCAGAGCAGTCACCCACTACCTCCGGCTCTTAGAATCTGTCTGTAACTCCCCTCTGATGAGATGATTCCCTGAGCCTTGGAGCAAGAGAATCTAACATGAATGTCCCATTTAGGGATGAGCACAGTCTGTTATTCTTGCATGTTAACCAGTTCTAAGTCTTTATATTAATCTTCATCTGCTACAAAAAGAAACTTCCCCTCAAGGTTAAGAAATGCACTAATGTCTGGGTATAAAGAGAAGACCTTAGAGCTGGGCATTGGTGTCACATGCCTTTAATCCCAGCACTTGGGAGGCAGAGGCAGGCAGATCTCTGAGTTCCAGGCCAGCATGATCTATAGCATGAGTTCCAGGACAGCCAGGGCTACATAGAGAAAAAGAAAAAAAAAAAAGATAAGATCTTAGGGTGCAGTTTAATACCATGTCTATTTAGCAGAGTAATAGTTTATTCTCCCCTAGAGTCTATGACCTACACAGTCATGGATGCCTGGCCTAGTTAACAGTACCATACATGTGTTTTGTCTTGTGGAGTGGACCTTAAATCCAATTAGAAGGTGACTGGTTGCTCCCATAACATTCATGACATTATTGCACCAGTGGTCCATCTTGTCAGCCAAGCCGGTCATTATTGTAACTTACAGAGTTCACAGCTGAGTAAAACTGTTGACTATTTTTCTCCCCTAGCAGCATGCATCATGCCTTCCAGCACTATAAGGCAAATAGATTCTTGTAGCTTCCTTCAAGCTCCTTTACTTACAAACTCTGATCATTTCTAGGGAGAGGATTTCTGAATGTGGCATATCTGTCCTCTGTGTAACTGAACCCCCAGAGAGTAGCAAAGGAGCCTGACAGTCGGGCACTGAAGCTAGGAGATGTGCAGAAAAAACTTAGAATCCCTAGTGAAGCACCAGAAGGAATAAAGCCCAATTTCAAACATCTGAAACAGAAGATGTATTCATGCAATGTAGCTTAGCCAGCCCTTGGAAAACAAATGCATGATCTGTGTAGAATCCTATGGAGGAAGTCTGCAATAAGTTCAGTATGGTGGGGTTAGAGGTATAGCTCATCCTGCACAGTGCTCGTCTAGTCATGGGTTCGATCCCCAGTACCCCACATAAAAAAGCCATAGTGGTACATGCTTCAATCCCAACACTCAGGAGGTAGAGACAGGAAGGTCAGAAGTTCCTGATCAGGGAGTTGGGGTAGATATGATCAAGATACATTGTTTGAGTGGATGGATGGATGAAATTGTCAAAGAATAACCTTTTAAGTTCAAGATCATTCTTAGCTACTTGACAAGTTCAAGGCCAGATACATGAGATGTTGTCTCAAAAAAAAAAAAAAAAAGTCAGGGGCAACGGGTATCTGCAGATGAAATATAACGGAATTGTCTGGTGAACTTGTTGCTGGGCACCCAGTCTAGCAAAGTGATGAGCTCCAAGTTGGATAAGAGACCATGGAAAGTGACATAAAAGGACATATGACAGTCTCTGGAATATACACACACATGCATGTGTACACCATACACAAAAGACTTGCTGGGCATGGTGGCACACACCTTTAATCCCAGCACTCAGAAGGCAGAGGCAGGTGGATCTCTGAGTTTAAGGTCATGTGATCTACAATAGCTAATTATAAGCTATCCAGGGCTACATAGGCCCTGTCTAAAACACAACAAAACATGTTGACTTGTTAGTGATTACTGATCTAAAAAATGAATCAGAAATTCCTCTATGCATGCTTTTGAAAAACTAAACATTCCACCCTTTTCTTTTACTTAGTATTAAAGATGGATGCATGCTTCCTTTGGCTTCACATATACCAAGGTTAGAATGATATAAAGAAGATTAACATGGCCCCTGTGCAAATGATGTACAAAGTCATGAAGTGTTCTTATGATTATATTTTTAGTTGGGGGGAGGGGAGAGAACATGCTCAAAATATATTGCATGAAAACAATTTTTTTTTTTTTTTTCCGAGACAGGGTTTCTCTGTGTAGCTTTGCGCCTTTCCTGGAACTCACTCGGTAGTCCAGGCTGGCCTCGAACTCACAGAGATCCGCCTGGCTCTGCCTCCCGAGTGCTGGGATTAAAGGCGTGAGCCACCACCGCCCGGCTGAAAACAATTTTAAATAAAAATGAAAAATCAGTGGAAATAATACCTTAAAAAGATTTCTGCCACACAAGTTTTTCTAAAGTTGTATGTAATTTGTAATAAATGTTAACTCTATCAGTTTCTGTAATACTGTTTTCAGTACATTAGGGATTGTGAGACATAAAGTAAATCTTTGAAGGGCACAGTTTAGAGCTTTACATATTTTCTAGGATAACCCATAATGAAGTTATTTTTGTAAACCTAGACTGTAGCCGGGTGGTGGTGGTGCACGCCTTTAATCCTAGCACTTGGAAAGCAGAGGCAGGCGGATCTCTGTGAGTTCAAGGCCAGCACCTAGATTGTAAAAAGAGCCTGTATTCGTAATGTTTCTGTTGCTGTTGTGAAAACCTCACAACCAAGGCAATTTATAGAAGGAAGAGTTTGTTTGGTTTATAGTTCCAGGGAGATTAGAGTCCCTTGTGGTGGGGACGTGTGGCAGCAAGCAAGCAGGCATGGTATCTAGAGCAGGGAGCTAAGCACTCCCATCTTCAACCGAGGAGGTAGTGGACTGAGTGAACAGGAAGTAGGGCGAGGCTCTATAATCCTAAAGCCCTACCTCTTCCTCCAGCAAGGCTGCATCACCTAACCCTCCCCAACAGCGCCACCAACAGAGAACCAAGTGTCCAAACAGTCAAGCCTATGGGGCACATTTCTCATTCAGATCACCACAGGGGCAAAGGTATTTGTCCTGTGTGGATTTTTGTTAACTAGACTCAGAACTATCTAGGAAGAGGAGTCTCAGTTGAGAAAATTACCTGTATGCAAGTCTGTAGGGACATCTTCTTGATTAGTGATTGATGTGGGATGGCCCACCTCACAGTGGGTGATTGACACCCCTGAGCTGGTCGTCCTGGGTGCTGTAAGGAAGCAGACTGAGCAAGCCATGAGGAGCAGGCCAGTAAGCAGCATTTCTCCAAGACCCCTGCTTCAGTTCCTGCCTCCAGGTCCTTGCCCGAGTTTCTTCTCTGACTTACCCTCATGATGGAGTATACCTGTAAGCTGAAACACACCCTTTCCAGCCCAGGTTGCTTTGGGTCCTGGTGCTTATCACAGCGATAGAAAACAAACGGAGACAAGATTCATAGACACATTTGTCACATAAGGAAACATTGTAACGCTAAGTGGCCGATTGCAGTGTGAACTAATACTCGTCCAAAGTTGCTTCCCTGATCCACTGGGGGAAACTGGTGCCTGGGGACCCCC